GTACCTTTCACCTTTTCAAACTAATAAACTTTCAGCTCATTAAATCAGTTTATATTCCATGATTTTGCATCATTAGTGGAAACAGTGACAAAGGATTGTCGAAACCTCTGACGTATGCAGATGAAACTTTGCGCGTCAAATCAGCAAAATATATTGCTTTACTCCTCCTTCTAATGATCCATCCCCTGGTTTACTCTGCTATTCTTTTGCGCACCCACACTTATGAAACATGGGTAGTATTTAGTTTGGATGTGATAAGCATATCTACTGATAATATATTTCATTGCAAATGTCGCAAAAACACAATTATCAAATATATGGATGCATAAAAATAGCTGAATCGGTAATTTAAAATTCTAAGTATTGACCATACAATTTCTCTGAGTAGAATAAAGTAATTGACAATGAACGAACGATATTAAAATTATTGGGTTTGCCTACAGAGAGTGTACGGCTAATACGGCTAAGTTTTAGGGTAAAAACTCATAAAAAAATATTTAAATTACACAAAAATTATATATTCCTATTTTAACAAATTATTTTTTTCCCTTCCTTTCTTTTTTCGGGCCTGGGATTGTTTTTCACATTACTTCAGGCTAGACCTAGGAGTTGCGGCATTATCACTTAGATAAAATCCATTGGTGATTTGGTGAGGATCGAACCCGGGACCTCAGGGACTGAAGTCCTGCGCTCTAACCACTATGCAAGCTCGCTCCCCGAAGAAGGTGCACCTAGTCATGAAAAAACATACAACACATTGATTACGTACGGTGCCGCTTGGATCGTATTTTTTCTAACACTTTTTTTATATCAGTTATTTCGAATCTCGTTCAAACCAAATAAAATTTACTGGTTATAAAAGATGACTTGTCCCTTGGTTAAGTAACCAAACATTTAAGCACAAAGCATTTAATCAACCCTAAATAATAGAAAAAACATTGCGTTGACCCTAGGGCTCAGTGTCACTAACATGAACTAGACATGAAAACAAGCTTAATATTATACAATGGGGCGAGAAATTTATTTGTGTTGGTTACCTGGGAGGGACACATCAAATGGCGTCCTTCTAGGTCAGATGTGGTAGATGGCTGGATATGACGTCAGATGCCAAAGTCCCCCAACACCTGACCTGATCATGCGATTGTCGCCACAAGCTTTGCATTTCATTCAAGGAGGAAAATAAATAAACGGAATCCATTAATTAATCTCCAACCTCTTGAAAACCTAGCATTATACAATGACGAAGCCATTTGTATTTCCTTATCTTAATAAAATATTTACCAATCTTTTTTTTTGTAATAACTATATTACTAGATTTAAAGGAATTTATGAAAAGTATACAAATGTTGTATGAGTACGTGAAGCATTTCAAAGGCGCTGAGTCTAATGGAAAAAGGAATAGGAAACGGTTGTATATAAAGGAAATGGAGTGGGATCCCATCAAGAGAAACGCTCCATAGAAACCACCTGTCAAAGATACTGATTCTTGAACTTGGATAAAACAAATCAAGTGGAAACCACTGAACCACCATTGGAGACTGGACATATTTTTACCTCAGAATTCATCTAAAATGTCTACGTTGAATATTTATTCAATTAAACGTACACGTCAATGTCCATAATCATTATGAGGTGATAATTAAACTTTTAGCAACACGTAAATTAATCATCAACGGTTTTTATTATCTACACAAATGTTATGAAGTTACTTTTTAAGCTCGTATTTGGTTTATCTAATCTGATTATATTTGACTAATCAACCTGCAATGCCAAAAGTCTGTATTTGTCATCGATTGGACCAAAAATTATGATTGAAGTTCGAAATTGATATCATTGTAGCATATGAAGTATTTTTAAACTTCCAGCAAATGGTTACAATACATATATACGTTTTTCGAAAAGCGTTGAAAGAATGTTTACATTATACTTGTAAATAATAAAAGAAACCAGGACGTTTTTGAAAATTATCTACTTCTCCTGAATCGTTAGACTACTAAGAAGTAACTAAGCAAGTAGGCCTAAGCTTACAACTGTAATCCAATCCAATAATTTAAATACAAAACTAATTTTGACAATTTAAATATATATTTTTACATGATGGAATTTTGTTTTACTTCAGTACGGATATTTAAAATCTAAATGTTTTAGAGTAAGTTATTAGAAAAACAATCGGTTGCTATTTCATAGTTTATTTATTGACACAATGTACAAACATAAACATAAAATATATTAATATGTCATAGAGTGATTTCAAACAATAAAGTATCTCATTGTGGTCTCTTTCATTTCCTTTCTTAATCTGAGATAACTACCAACTCATGGTAATTTCACGAAATTCATTACTAATTAGCTTAATCGAATCAAATTCACAAAGCTATATGCCTCATAAAACACTAAAACGCATGTTACTTAAGTACAAGACAGCTACCAAAGTTTATAGGCACCCTAAAACAGAATTACCTTGGACAATTTAATAAATAAATGTGTTCAATTTATATTTTTGGGCAATAATTAAATGACAAAACCTACTATAGACCAAATTAAAGTTTACCATAAAAATAATTAGAAATCAGTTTCAGTAATGATCCAATATAAAACATTGATTATAGTGAAAATGCAAAAGAAAACGAATAAAAAAATATGGTACCAATAGTAAATAAATTAAATCCAGGCCTTCAGGGTTGATTCCTGCAACGTATTACCTGATACAGTTGGAATATTATTATACTTGTTTCCTTGTTCACACATACAGACAAACACACAAAACACACACACACACGCACACACACACACCGACTATATAGAATCCCTCCCGTACGGATTGAAAGGTCTCTTTGATGGTTATCCACAAAGGTAAGTTAAAGTAAACCTGCATTAGCCAGATTAATTTCTTGAACAATCAGTCAAACCTTTGAACCCATACCTCAGGGTTCTCCCTTTGGGAAATCCATATATCCTAAAGTCATCCACTTTTAGGAACAAACGGTAACTACTGAAGAGTAATTTAACATAATAAGGACAAGATTATGCTATTCTGTATGACGATGGGTATAAATCAAGATGTTGAAAGCGTTAGGAAAGTAATCAGAATTGTTAGGTCACGATCATGAATACGAATAAGTAAGGAATGGCAATTCATCTGGAATCCGTGTTTTAATTAACTAATTAAGAAATATATTTTTTTGTATATAATAAAGCTGGATGGAGCAGTTGTAATTCGAAAAGCTTGACGATTTCCTGTGGGATATTTGTCTTTAATGTAGCATCGGTCTTATATATTTTTTAATAAAATAAATCATTAATACATTTATTATTTAAGATCCAATGACATTTACCACAGCTATCTTAAAGATTTGTCCTGGATTAAACAGTTTCAACTAGAGTCTCGTAAGACAAAATGGTTACGTGACGCTGTAAACCGAAGCTCCAGAACTCTGAGCTGATATCAACTGCATAATAAATCTGGCTCTTGTAGATGATACGTGCTCCCGTCCTCCGCTAGGATTAATGCACCGTATGTTGAGGAGAGTTATTGTATATATTTCTGATAGTGTGTTTCATTACGTTATATTATTAGCTAATTAGTATAAATGCTATATTTCATGTGTAGTTTTAACTTAGAGTTGTGAAGTAGCAAACAGGCATTCTCTTAGGGCAGTTGTCGGCTTTTAGCGCCGGTAACAGAGTAATAAACCTTCGTCCTTCTGCGAAAGGGCAGGCCCTTCCTCACCACTTTTAGAAAGTTGCAACCCCAATAGAGGGCGAGGAAGGTGTCTTTTGTTCAGTCATAGTCAGTGTCTCAACTAGCACCACATTGTCAAGTTCGTTTGGCATAGTTTTCGTATAGGACGTGTGAGGCAGATCCCTCCACGTATTTCATTAGTCTTAATTCGCATTCAATAGTACATTCGCATTAGTTGTTTCGTTATAGCATTTTAGTCAATCATTTATACAGTCCACTTATATATCATCACATCAATAAATTCATAGTTCGTTTTTAAAGTGTTAGTTTCTTTTATTATTTTCCATAACATTGGCGTACCATAAAGATTTCCTCTTTCAAGGGGGGAGAATGTTGAGGAGAGTTATTGTATATATTTATGATTTGTGCTTCATTACGTTATATTATTAGCTAATTATTATAAATGCTATATTTCATATGTAGTTATAACTTAGAGTTGTAAAGTAGCAAACATGCATTCTCTTAGGGCAGTTGTCGGCTTTTAGCGCCGGTAACAGAGTAATAAACCATCGTCCTTCTGCGAAAGGACGGGCCCTTCCTCACCACTTTTAGAAAGTCGCAACCCCAATCGAGGGTGAGGAAGGTGTCTTTTATTCAGTCATAGTCAGTGTCTCGACTAGCATCACATTGTTAAGTTCGTTTCGTAGTTTTCGCATAGGACGTGTGAGGCAGACCCCTCCACGTATTTCATTAGTCTTAATTCGCATTCAATAGTACATTCACATTAGTTTTTCGTTATAGCATTTTAGTCAATCATTTATACAGTCCACTTATATCATCACATCAATAAATTCATAGTTCGTTTTTAAAGTGTTAGTTTCTTCTATTATTTTCCATAACATTGGCGCATCACATCACGCGCCGCAACATGGTCCTATCGAGCCGGATTCGCGATATCAGTAGCAGTGAACGGTCGCAGTGAACAGTCGCAGTGAACAGTCGCAGTGAACAGTGACCAATCGTAGTAAGTGAATTACAGGCAGCTACTAGACATCTTTTGAAAACAGACCAACAAGTTTACTTACATGAAGACTACACACGACTTAGGTCAGGGAAACAAGTAAAGCCTACTAGTCACTTACACACATTGCAACCATTTATAGACCACGATGGAATAGTAAGAGTTGGAGGTCGACTTAGAAATGCAAAGATCCACAATGATCAAAAACATCCTATTATTCTAAGTTCAAAGTCCCACTTAACAGAACTCATTGTAAAACACGAGCACATCCGACAACTTCATGCCGGGCCACAGCTTATGTTAGCATCATTACGTCAGCAGTACTGGCCGCTAAAGGGACGTGACTTAGCTAGGAAAGTCGTCCACTCATGTATTAAATGCTTCCGAGTGAAACCAAGGACTTCACAACCTCAGATGGGAGATTTACCTACGAGCAGACTGGAAATCACTCATCCATTCTCAAACACAGGCACAGATTTTTGCGGGCCTATTTTCACCCGCTCATCTCGAAGAAGAAACAGTCCAAAAATCAAGAGCTACATCGTTTTGTTTGTGTGCATGACTACAAAAGCCATACATTTAGAACTGGTATCAGATTTAACCACCGAAGCGTTCATAGCTGCGTTCAAGCGATTTATATCAAGACGTGGAATATGCAACAATATTTACTCTGACAATGGGACCAACTACGTGGGAGCAAGCAGAGAACTCAAGGAGCTACGTGAACTCTTCAAGACACAAGAACATCAACGAAGGGTCATTGAAGAAACATCTATTCATAAAATAACTTGGCATTTTATTCCCCCCAAGTCACCTCACTTCGGAGGATTATGGGAAGCGGGAGTGAAATCTATGAAACATCATTTGAAACGAGTCGTAGGAAATGTATCACTTACACATGAAGCTACGTACACAGTTTTGACATTAATAGAAGCTTGCTTGAACTCCAGACCTCTCACACCTATTTCCAATCACCCTAATGACCCATTACCCCTTACACCTGGACATTTTCTTACTGGTAGAGCACTAACAACCTTACCAGAACCAAGTTTATTGAATGTAACTATGAATAGACTTTCCATGTGGCAGCAGACTCAACAGATGGTACAACACTTCTGGGCACGATGGTCAAAGGAATACTTAACCTTCCTGCAACAGCGGCCAAAATGGACATCGGAGACCAAGAACATCACTCCTGGTCAACTTGTGGTCATACGAGAGGACAACCTACCGCCAATGAAGTGGGTCACCGGACGGGTCACAGAGGTCCACCCCGGAGATGACGGCAGAGTTCGAGTAGCAACCGTCAAAACAACCACCGGCGTGTACAAGCGAGCGGTCAACCGTCTGTGCGTCCTACCCCTGGAGTGACGTCACACACTGCGCAACAGCTGAGAACTACCCTTGTCAACCATATGTGTCAAGTGTCAGTGAGTGAGTCGTTAAAGTGGTAGTGTAAATAGTAAAAATCTCCAAGCCAAATAGTGAAAGTGTAACATAAAAATCTACATTTAGGATAAATTTTAGGATAAATCAATGTTTCAGATAAAAAGCTTTAGTTAAGATTTTTAATAGTTGTAGTATTTTGCATTGTAATTTTTCATCGTTTTCATAGTAGTTTTGTTATTGCATTTGAATAACCAATGAGTTCAATCGTTATTATTATTATAATTTATCGTTGTTAGGGTTAAGTTATGTTCCTGGTGGCGGGGTGGGGGGGATCCTAGGTTAGGTGGCGCTTATTCGGGTGTTCGCATAACTCTGAATAATTCCTAGAACCGGCCCTGACAATTTAACATTAGTCTTGTCATCTTTTTGTACAGTTTAGTGTGTCATTGTTAGTTTCATTTATTAAGTTATCGGCAATTCATCATCGTGAGTTCTGATTTTTAATGTGTTATTCAAAGCTTTATCATTTAACTTGTTTTCATTGTAGAAATCATATTCGTGTTTAGCATATAAGGTATTTTACAATATTTTAAATGTACTTCACTCGTATTGCTTTGTGTCATTGTGTTATTCTATCATTTCAACATGGTTGATTAATTTGTTTGTAAATACAGCAGTATTGTAATTATTGTATCAATTTAAATTCAATTAGATTTTTGCAATATAGAAATAGTTGAAAGATTTACACTTTCAAGGGGGGAGAATGTTGAGGAGAGTTATTGTATATATTTCTGATAGTGTGTTTCATTACGTTATATTATTAGCTAATTAGTATAAATGCTATATTTCATGTGTAGTTTTAACTTAGAGTTGTGAAGTAGCAAACAGGCATTCTCTTAGGGCAGTTGTCGGCTTTTAGCGCCGGTAACAGAGTAATAAACCTTCGTCCTTCTGCGAAAGGGCAGGCCTTCCTCACCACTTTAGAAAGTTGCAACCCCAATAGAGGGCGAGGAAGGTGTCTTTTGTTCAGTCATAGTCAGTGTCTCAACTAGCACCACATTGTCAAGTTCGTTTGGCATAGTTTTCGTATAGGACGTGTGAGGCAGATCCCTCCACGTATTTCATTAGTCTTAATTCGCATTCAATAGTACATTCGCATTAGTTGTTTCGTTATAGCATTTTAGTCAATCATTTATACAGTCCACTTATATATCATCACATCAATAA